AAAAGCGAAAATAAACAAATGGGACCTAATGAAACTTAAAAGCGTTTGCACGACAAAGAAACTATAAGCGAGGTGAAAAGACAGCCCTCAGATTGGGAGAAAATAACAGCAAACGAAGCAACACACAAAGGATTAATCTCAAACATATACAAGCAACTCCTCCAGCTCAACTCCAGAAAATAAATGACCCAATCAAAAAATGGGACAAAGAACTAAACAGACATTTCTCCAAGGAAGACATACAGATGGCTAAAAGACACATGAAAAGATGCTCAACATCACTCATTATCCGAGAAATGCAAATCAAACCACAATGAGGTACCATTACACGCCAGTCAGGATGGCTGCTATCCAAAAATTATACAAGCAATAAATGCTGGAGAGGGTGTGGAGAAAAGGGAACCCTCTTACCCTGTCGCTGGGAATGCAAACTAGTACAGCCGCTATGGAAAACAGTGTGGAGATATCTTAAAAAACTGGAAACAGAACTGCCGTATGATCCAGCAATCCCTCTTCTGGGCATACACGCCGAGGAAACCAGATCTGAAAGAGACACGTGCACCCCAATGTTCATCGCAGCACCGTTTATAATAAGCAGGACATGGAAGCAACCTAGATGCCCGTCAGCAGCCGAGTGGATAAGACAGCTGTGGTACATATACATCATGGAATCTTACTCAGCCATTAAAAAGAATTCATTTGAATCAGTTCTAAAGGGATGGATGAAACTGGAGCCCGTTATACAGACTGAAGTAAGCCAGAAAGATAAAAGACCATTACAGGATACTAACACATATACATGGAATTGAGCAAGATGGTAACCATAACCCTATATGCAAAACAGAAAAAGACACACAGATGTATAGAACAGACTTTTGGACTCTGTGGGAGAAGGCGCGGGTGGGATGTTTCAAGAGAACAACATCGAAACATGTATATATAATCTAGGGTGAAAGAGATCACCAGCCCAGGTTGGATGCAGGAGACAAGTGCTCGGACCTGGTGCACTGGGAAGAGCCAAAGGGATCAGGTCGAGACGGAGGTGGGAGGGGGGATCGGGATGGGGAATACATGTAAATCCATGGCTAATTCATGTCAATGTATGACAAAAAAATTTGTAAAGTCATTAGCCTCCAACTAATAAAAATAAATGAAAAAAAAAATAAAAACAGGGATTCACTGAGCTGCATGGGAGATGAATTCTGTCACTAGAAACTTTGCCACCAGGCTTAAGAAATATATTTAGAACTCATTTCTTTCAGGAAACAGGTTTCAAGATCTCCATGAGAAGTCTTTTATTAAGATAAATCACAGCTTTGTCAGTTTCTCCAGAAGTACCCTATTTTTAATCCCCAAGGAGAATGGCAATAATAAAACTAAATTAACCGAGTAGGTTATTTTCTCTCTAATGGCCCCTCTCTTGATTAAGAGGATTCCGGTCGACGTATTTCCTGGGCTTCCCTGGTGGCTCAGGTGGTAAAGAATCTTTCTGCAATGCAGGAGACCTGGGTTCCATGCCTGGGTTGAGAAGATCGCCTGGAGAAGGGAATGGCCACCTCTTCCAGTATTCTTGCCTAGAGAATTCCACGGACAGAGGAACTGGGAAGGCCACAGTCCATGGAGTCACAAAGAGTCGGACACAGCTGAGCAACTAATACACATATTTTCTTACCATTTGCTTAGCAGAAGCAATCATTCATAGCATTTTATAGCACTTTCTAAAGAACATTTTGTGCCTTTTTTCTCTTTTGTAAGCTGCACCAGGTCTTGGTTGCCACACATGGGATCTTTCATTGTGGCGTGCACACTCTTCCTTGCAGTGTATGGGATCTAGTTCACTGACCAGAGATTGAACCCAGGCCCCTGCATTGGGAGCAGCCACTGGATCGCCAGGGAAGCCCTCTAAAGAACTCTTAAAGTGAAACTTTTTGGATGTTCGCAGCAGCTCTGGGCAGTCCTAGTGGTACTTGTTCTGCACTCTTGAGCCCGTGACCTCCCTGAGGGACACAGGGGCCAAGCGAGCAGATGCTACCCCAGCACCAGACCGCAGGGCCAGACTGGCAGTGTAAACTCCCTTCCAGTGATGTCCTCTTTTTACTGTTCCTCTGGTCAATTCAGTACTGTTTTCCTTGGACCATGTGTTTAAAAGGAAATCCTAGATGTGTTCAAACATTACTGCCCACTTTCAGATGGATTGATATCTACCTAGGACCTGTCTATTAAACCCACCTGCCTGAGTACTGTGACTTGATTGGAGTTTTCTTGAAGTCACTCCTGAAGCACTGTGATGGATTTGTCTACCATTAATAGATTTTTTAAAATGATATGTGTTGGGGAATGGCTGTGAAAAAAGGGGAGAATCTGTTGCTACTGCAAACCAATTAAGGAGGCAACTTAAAAAGCAAATCTGAATTGTAACTATGTTTCTATTTCTGTAAAATACTGTCCTTACCTTGCAGTCTGTAGTTGATGTGCCCAGACACACTAGTGGCTCTCGGGTTGCTCTTCTGCCATCTTCCTGTCTCCTTCAGTCCCTGCAGGCATATAGGAACTTCAGTGAGATAATGGGGCATTTAACAGAGATTAATACTCTGTGCAATACTGTATTTAGTGTTTCTATTTTAAAGTTTCTAGGATGTTAATTTACATGCAAATAAAATACATAATAAGAGAGTTCTCTGCCTATTGTGTATATATGACCTAAAAGTAAATGCAAAATATTTATCCCAGAGGGAAAATAAGTTAGAGCGTCTGTGTTCAAAGATTTTTGAAAGTTCTTATCTCAGGCCGAACCGTTGCTGGTGAACAGTGAAAGTCGCTCTGTCATGTCTGACTCTGCGAACCCATGGACTGTACAGTCCATGGAATTCTCCAGGCCAGAATACTAGAGTGGGTAGCCGTTTCCCTTCTCCAGGGGGTCTTTGCAACGCAGGGATCGAACCCAGGTCTCCTGCACTGCAGGTGGATTCCTCACCAGCTGAGCCACCAGGGAAGCCCGAACAGTTCTTGGCAGTTAAGGATTTAACAAATGCTAGAGTGTAAAGACAAAATAATAATTCTGCTACATTAAAACACATTTTCTTAAGTGCAAATCTTCTCAATGCAGTTTTAGGGAAGAAGTATTTCCCCCTTATGGAAATATCAGTATGTTAATACCTAAGAAGTCCTTTTATGAAAAGTTGCAAAAATTCATATGATGTAGATTAAATGGTGATAAAAATTGAGTTGATCTCAGTGAGGCAGCAGTGAGTGGTGGCGTGAAGTGAGATCTAATTCGCTGCCTAGGAACTGAACCTGGGTAGCCTGAACGAAAACCAGGAATCCTAGCCACCAGACCAGCAAGGGCTAGAGGCTAGAAGCCAAGTTTCCCTGGAACTTTGACCAGTGAAAAATGCATTCATCATGTAGGCAGAATCGCTACATGCAGGTACAACGTTTATTATCAGAGACATAGCACAGCAACACGTGGGAAAGAACACGGAGGAACAGCTGGTCTAGTTCCGACAGAAGCCAAGCAGAGACACACACCTGGAGAGAAAGGTTATGGGCGCCCCCTGGTGACAAGGAGCACAATAACCACGAGGTGGTGAAGTCCTTTATATAGGCCAGTTCTTCTGGGTCTTTGTCTTCCTTCCTGCCAAGTTTCTGGTTTCTTTCTTCACATCTGACCTATCCTGGGCCTCTGCCCTGGTGTGCACATACCCTCAGCCAAGATGGATCTCCAAGTGGAAGCTTCTGGGAGAAGCAAGGCTCATCATGGTCTGGCATTTTCGCGGGACTTTTCACCCACAAGGAGCCTCTCTGCACATGTGTTGTGTTTCCCTTCTCCCACAAGGGGGGTGGGGGAGGGGAGATCTCCTCATCCTTGACTCAAGCAGGATTTTGTCCCTCTTTGCCCTTGTCATGGCTACTAAAGTGTTCATGAGAGACAGACACTGGCTATTTACCCTCTTTCGGTTGTTACTTCCATTTCACAGGGCAAGCAGGACACTGACTGTAAAGGCTCAACTGGAGCCCAACCATCTCTTGCCTCAGGAAATGTAAACAGGCTAGATGTAAATGCCTAACCTGGAGTCCATCTGTCTCCTCCAGCAGCATTATGGGAAGACAAAAGGCGGAAAATTATGCCAATAAGGCACCACATGATGGTGCAAAAAGATGGACATAGACAAGGAAAGAAGGAATAAAAACTAAGCATTATGCTAATGGCAACCATTAGGCAAGTTAATGGGGGGTGGGGGGGAACCTAATGGAAAACACTTGCTTTTATGCCATGAACCATCTTTGAATTCAGGTTGAATTGGATTTTTCACGATAAATTTTTCATCACCTATGCGTTGGCTTGTCATCTACTTTGTGCAAAAGCCTGGAGCTCCTAACTACAAGGGGGTCTCCCATCCAAGTACTAACTTACCCTGCTTAGTTTCCACGATCAGAAGACATCTGGCCGGTTCAAGGTGGTATGATCTTAGATGGAGGCGGTTGCCGCCAGGCGCATTTAAAAACCCTACGCTGCGCTTCCTTTTCGCTCTGATGTGCCGTGTCCAGCCAGCCGGCCGCACCTTTCCACGGGGCGCGCCGGCCAGGGCCGGCAGCCCGGCTGAAGCCGCCCCGTCCCCGCACACCGGCAACCCTGGCCAGCAAACCTGGCCCGGCCCGGGGGCCCGGAGTGTTTCCAGGACCCCGAGCGGCCGGTCGGGCGTGCATGCCTGGGCTTGGGGTTGGGGTGAGGGGCGCGGAGGTCTCGGCGCCCTCCCGCCCTGGGCCTCTCCAGGCCCGCCCCCTGTAAGCGCCCCCACTGCCCACTCCCGTTCGTGGCTCAGGGCCACGTGGCCCCGGAGGTGTCTGATTCGGGCCCGCCGCGGACCGCGGCCCTCGGTCCTCTGAGCCTCCCTCGGGCATAGGCGGAGCGCAGCCGGGGCCCTGAGCACCCATCCTGCCCGGCACCTGCCCGGGGCCCAAACCCACCGGGAGCCACCAGCGCGGTCCACCCGAGCGCCTCAGCCCCGCCCCTTCGCCCGACCGGGGCCCTCCTCCTCGCCACGCCGCTCGCCAAGCACAGGACCTTCCTGAGGTCCTTCAAATTCTTCCTTCAAGAGTTCTAAGTAAATTTAAGACAGCATCTACTGGATTTTCTCCAATGGCTAAAAAAACAAACAAACCAACAGTTACCTTGATCCATCTTGCCTTAATGTGAGCTGTAACAGTAACCTCAGAGCTGCTGCACTCAATGATTTGATTCATTCTGTTGTTGAAAAACAGGGATTCTCAATATTGTCAAAATGGCTATAGTACCCAAAGCAATCTATAGATTCAATGCAATCCCTGTCAAGCTACCAATGGCAGCTTTCAGAGAACTAGAGCAAATAATTTCACAATTTGTATGGAAATGCAAAACACCTCGAATAGCCAAAGGAATCTTGAGAAAGAAGAATGGAACTGGAGGAATCAACCTGCCTGACTTCAGACTATACCACAAAGCCACAGTCATCAAGACAGTATGGTACTGGCACAAAGACAGAAATATACATCAATGGAACAGAACAGAAAGCCCAGAGATAAATCCACGAACCTATGGTCACCTTATCTTCGACAAAGGAGGCAAGGATATACAGTGGAAAAAAAGACAACCTCTTTAACAAGCAGTGCTGGGAAAACTGGTCAGCCACCTGGAAAAGAATGAAACGAGAACACTGTCTAACACCATACACAGAAATAAACTCAAAATGGATTAAAGGTCTAAATGTTAAGACCAGAAACCATAAAACTCCTAGAGGAGAACACAGGCAAAACACTCTCCGACATAAATCACAGCAGGATCCCAGAGTATTAGAAACAAAAGCGAAAATAAACAAATGGGACCTAATGAAACTTAAAAGCGTTTGCACGACAAAGAAACTATAAGCGAGGTGAAAAGACAGCCCTCAGATTGGGAGAAAATAACAGCAAACGAAGCAACACACAAAGGATTAATCTCAAACATATACAAGCAACTCCTCCAGCTCAACTCCAGAAAATAAATGACCCAATCAAAAAATGGGACAAAGAACTAAACAGACATTTCTCCAAGGAAGACATACAGATGGCTAAAAGACACATGAAAAGATGCTCAACATCACTCATTATCCGAGAAATGCAAATCAAACCACAATGAGGTACCATTACACGCCAGTCAGGATGGCTGCTATCCAAAAATTATACAAGCAATAAATGCTGGAGAGGGTGTGGAGAAAAGGGAACCCTCTTACCCTGTCGCTGGGAATGCAAACTAGTACAGCCGCTATGGAAAACAGTGTGGAGATATCTTAAAAAACTGGAAACAGAACTGCCGTATGATCCAGCAATCCCACTTCTGGGCATACACGCCGAGGAAACCAGATCTGAAAGAGACACGTGCACCCCAATGTTCATCGCAGCACCGTTTATAATAAGCAGGACATGGAAGCAACCTAGATGCCCGTCAGCAGCCGAGTGGATAAGGCAGCTGTGGTACATATACATCATGGAATCTTACTCAGCCATTAAAAAGAATTCATTTGAATCAGTTCTAAAGGGATGGATGAAACTGGAGCCCGTTATACAGACTGAAGTAAGCCAGAAAGATAAAAGACCATTACAGGATACTAACACATATACATGGAATTGAGCAAGATGGTAACCATAACCCTATATGCAAAACAGAAAAAGACACACAGATGTATAGAACAGAATTTTGGACTCTGTGGGAGAAGGCGCGGGTGGGATGTTTCAAGAGAACAACATCGAAACATGTATATATAATCTAGGGTGAAAGAGATCACCAGCCCAGGTTGGATGCAGGAGACAAGTGCTCGGACCTGGTGCACTGGGAAGAGCCAAAGGGATCGGGTCGAGACGGAGGTGGGAGGGGGGATCGGGATGGGGAATACATGTAAATCCATGGCTAATTCATGTCAATGTATGACAAAAAAATTTGTAAAGTCATTAGCCTCCAACTAATAAAAATAAATGAAAAAAAAATAAAAACAGGAATTCACTGAGCTGCATGGGAGATGAATTCTGTCACTAGAAACTTTGCCACCAGGCTTAAGAAATATATTTAGAACTCATTTCTTTCCGGAAACAGGTTTCAAGATCTCCATGAGAAGTCTTTTATTAAGATAAATCACAGCTTTGTCAGTTTCTCCAGAAGTACCCTATTTTTAATTCCCAAGGAGAATGGCAATAATAAAACTAAATTAACCGAGTAGGTTATTTTCTCTCTAATGGCCCCTGTCTTGATTAAGAGGATTCCGGTCGACGTATTTCCTGGGCTTCCCTGGTGGCTCAGGTGGCAAAGAATCTGTCTGCAATGCAGGAGACCTGGGTTCCATGCCTGGGTTGAGAAGATCGCCTGGAGAAGGGAATGGCCACCTCTTCCAGTATTCTTGCCTAGAGAATTCCACGGACAGAGGAACTGGGAAGGCCACAGTCCATGGAGTCACAAAGAGTCGGACACTGCTGAGCAACTAATACACATATTTTCTTACCATTTGCTTAGCAGAAGCAATCATTCATAGCATTTTATAGCACTTTCTAAAGAACATTTTGTGCCTTTTTTCTCTTTTGTAAGCTGCACCAGGTCTTGGTTGCCACACATGGGATCTTTCATTGTGGCGTGCACACTCTTCCTTGCAGTGTATGGGATCTAGTTCACTGACCAGAGATTGAACCCAGGCCCCTGCATTGGGAGCAGCCACTGGATCGCCAGGGAAGCCCTCTAAAGAACTCTTAAAGTGAAACTTTTTGGATGTTCGCAGCAGCTCTGGGCAGTCCTAGTGGTACTTGTTCTGCACTCTTGAGCCCGTGACCTCCCTGAGGGACACAGGGGCCAAGCGAGCAGATGCTACCCCAGCACCAGACCGCAGGGCCAGACTGGCAGTGTAAACTCCCTTCCAGTGATGTCCTCTTTTTACTGTTCCTCTGGTCAATTCAGTACTGTTTTCCTTGGACCATGTGTTTAAAAGGAAATCCTAGATGTGTTCAAACATTACTGCCCACTTTCAGATGGATTGATATCTACCTAGGACCTGTCTATTAAACCCACCTGCCTGAGTACTGTGACTTGATTGGAGTTTTCTTGAAGTCACTCCTGAAGCACTGTGATGGATTTGTCTACCATTAATAGATTTTTTAAAATGATATGTGTTGGGGAATGGCTGTGAAAAAAGGGGAGAATCTGTTGCTACTGCAAACCAATTAAGGAGGCAACTTAAAAAGCAAATCTGAATTGTAACTATGTTTCTATTTCTGTAAAATACTGTCCTTACCTTGCAGTCTGTAGTTGATGTGCCCAGACACACTAGTGGCTCTCGGGTTGCTCTTCTGCCATCTTCCTGTCTCCTTCAGTCCCTGCAGGCATATAGGAACTTCAGTGAGATAATGGGGCATTTAACAGAGATTAATACTCTGTGCAATACTGTATTTAGTGTTTCTATTTTAAAGTTTCTAGGATGTTAATTTACATGCAAATAAAATACATAATAAGAGAGTTCTCTGCCTATTGTGTATATATGACCTAAAAGTAAATGCAAAATATTTATCCCAGAGGGAAAATAAGTTAGAGCGTCTGTGTTCAAAGATTTTTGAAAGTTCTTATCTCAGGCCGAACCGTTGCTGGTGAACAGTGAAAGTCGCTCTGTCATGTCTGACTCTGCGAACCCATGGACTGTACAGTCCATGGAATTCTCCAGGCCAGAATACTAGAGTGGGTAGCCGTTTCCCTTCTCCAGGGGGTCTTTGCAACGCAGGGATCGAACCCAGGTCTCCTGCACTGCAGGTGGATTCCTCACCAGCTGAGCCACCAGGGAAGCCCGAACAGTTCTTGGCAGTTAAGGATTTAACAAATGCTAGAGTGTAAAGACAAAATAATAATTCTGCTACATTAAAACACATTTTCTTAAGTGCAAATCTTCTCAATGCAGTTTTAGGGAAGAAGTATTTCCCCCTTATGGAAATATCAGTATGTTAATACCTAAGAAGTCCTTTTATGAAAAGTTGCAAAAATTCATATGATGTAGATTAAATGGTGATAAAAATTGAGTTGATCTCAGTGAGGCAGCAGTGAGTGGTGGCGTGAAGTGAGATCTAATTCGCTGCCTAGGAACTGAACCTGGGTAGCCTGAACGAAAACCAGGAATCCTAGCCACCAGACCAGCAAGGGCTAGAGGCTAGAAGCCAAGTTTCCCTGGAACTTTGACCAGTGAAAAATGCATTCATCATGTAGGCAGAATCGCTACATGCAGGTACAACGTTTATTATCAGAGACATAGCACAGCAACACGTGGGAAAGAACACGGAGGAACAGCTGGTCTAGTTCCGACAGAAGCCAAGCAGAGACACACACCTGGAGAGAAAGGTTATGGGCGCCCCCTGGTGACAAGGAGCACAATAACCACGAGGTGGTGAAGTCCTTTATATAGGCCAGTTCTTCTGGGTCTTTGTCTTCCTTCCTGCCAAGTTTCTGGTTTCTTTCTTCACATCTGACCTATCCTGGGCCTCTGCCCTGGTGTGCACATACCCTCAGCCAAGATGGATCTCCAAGTGGAAGCTTCTGGGAGAAGCAAGGCTCATCATGGTCTGGCATTTTCGCGGGACTTTTCACCCACAAGGAGCCTCTCTGCACATGTGTTGTGTTTCCCTTCTCCCACAAGGGGGGTGGGGGAGGGGAGATCTCCTCATCCTTGACTCAAGCAGGATTTTGTCCCTCTTTGCCCTTGTCATGGCTACTAAAGTGTTCATGAGAGACAGACACTGGCTATTTACCCTCTTTCGGTTGTTACTTCCATTTCACAGGGCAAGCAGGACACTGACTGTAAAGGCTCAACTGGAGCCCAACCATCTCTTGCCTCAGGAAATGTAAACAGGCTAGATGTAAATGCCTAACCTGGAGTCCATCTGTCTCCTCCAGCAGCATTATGGGAAGACAAAAGGCGGAAAATTATGCCAATAAGGCACCACATGATGGTGCAAAAAGATGGACATAGACAAGGAAAGAAGGAATAAAAACTAAGCATTATGCTAATGGCAACCATTAGGCAAGTTAATGGGGGGTGGGGGGGAACCTAATGGAAAACACTTGCTTTTATGCCATGAACCATCTTTGAATTCAGGTTGAACTGGATTTTTCACGATAAATTTTTCATCACCTATGCGTTGGCTTGTCATCTACTTTGTGCAAAAGCCTGGAGCTCCTAACTACTAGGGGGTCTCCCATCCAAGTACTAACTTACCCTGCTTAGTTTCCACGATCAGAAGACATCTGGCCCGTTCAGGGTGGTATGATCTTAGATGGAGGCGGTTGCCGCCAGGTGCATTTAAAAACCCTACGCTGCGCTTCCTTTTCGCTCTGATGTGCCGTGTCCAGCCAGCCGGCCGCACCTTTCCACGGGGCGCGCCGGCCAGGGCCGGCAGCCCGGCTGAAGCCGCCCCGTCCCCGCACACCGGCAACCCTGGCCAGCAAACCTGGCCCGGCCCGGGGGCCCGGAGTGTTTCCAGGACCCCGAGCGGCCGGTCGGGCGTGCATGCCTGGGCTTGGGGTTGGGGTGAGGGGCGCGGAGGTCTCGGCGCCCTCCCGCCCTGGGCCTCTCTAGGCCCGCCCCCTGTAAGCGCCCCCACTGCCCACTCCCGTTCGTGGCTCAGGGCCACGTGGCCCCGGAGGTGTCTGATTCGGGCCCGCCGCGGACCGCGGCCCTCGGTCCTCTGAGCCTCCCTCGGGCATAGGCGGAGCGCAGCCGGGGCCCTGAGCACCCATCCTGCCCGGCACCTGCCCGGGGCCCAAACCCACCGGGAGCCACCAGCGCGGTCCACCCGAGCGCCTCAGCCCCGCCCCTTCGCCCGACCGGGGCCCTCCTCCTCGCCACGCCGCTCGCCAAGCACAGGACCTTCCTGAGGTCCTTCAAATTCTTCCTTCAAGAGTTCTAAGTAAATTTAAGACAGCATCTACTGGATTTTCTCCAATGGCTAAAAAAACAAACAAACCAACAGTTACCTTGATCCATCTTGCCTTAATGTGAGCTGTAACAGTAACCTCAGAGCTGCTGCACTCAATGATTTGATTCATTCTGTTGTTGAAAAACAGGGATTCTCAATATTGTCAAAATGGCTATAGTACCCAAAGCAATCTATAGATTCAATGCAATCCCTGTCAAGCTACCAATGGCAGCTTTCAGAGAACTAGAGCAAATAATTTCACAATTTGTATGGAAATGCAAAACACCTCGAATAGCCAAAGGAATCTTGAGAAAGAAGAATGGAACTGGAGGAATCAACCTGCCTGACTTCAGACTATACCACAAAGCCACAGTCATCAAGACAGTATGGTACTGGCACAAAGACAGAAATATACATCAATGGAACAGAACAGAAAGCCCAGAGATAAATCCACGAACCTATGGTCACCTTATCTTCGACAAAGGAGGCAAGGATATACAGTGGAAAAAAAGACAACCTCTTTAACAAGCGGTGCTGGGAAAACTGGTCAGCCACCTGGAAAAGAATGAAACGAGAACACTGTCTAACACCATACACAGAAATAAACTCAAAATGGATTAAAGGTCTAAATGTTAAGACCAGAAACCATAAAACTCCTAGAGGAGAACACAGGCAAAACACTCTCCGACATAAATCACAGCAGGATCCCAGAGTATTAGAAACAAAAGCGAAAATAAACAAATGGGACCTAATGAAACTTAAAAGCGTTTGCACGACAAAGAAACTATAAGCGAGGTGAAAAGACAGCCCTCAGATTGGGAGAAAATAACAGCAAACGAAGCAACACACAAAGGATTAATCTCAAACATATACAAGCAACTCCTCCAGCTCAACTCCAGAAAATAAATGACCCAATCAAAAAATGGGACAAAGAACTAAACAGACATTTCTCCAAGGAAGACATACAGATGGCTAAAAGACACATGAAAAGATGCTCAACATCACTCATTATCCGAGAAATGCAAATCAAACCACAATGAGGTACCATTACACGCCAGTCAGGATGGCTGCTATCCAAAAATTATACAAGCAATAAATGCTGGAGAGGGTGTGGAGAAAAGGGAACCCTCTTACCCTGTCGCTGGGAATGCAAACTAGTACAGCCGCTATGGAAAACAGTGTGGAGATATCTTAAAAAACTGGAAACAGAACTGCCGTATGATCCAGCAATCCCTCTTCTGGGCATACACGCCGAGGAAACCAGATCTGAAAGAGACACGTGCACCCCAATGTTCATCGCAGCACCGTTTATAATAAGCAGGACATGGAAGCAACCTAGATGCCCGTCAGCAGCCGAGTGGATAAGACAGCTGTGGTACATATACATCATGGAATCTTACTCAGCCATTAAAAAGAATTCATTTGAATCAGTTCTAAAGGGATGGATGAAACTGGAGCCCGTTATACAGACTGAAGTAAGCCAGAAAGATAAAAGACCATTACAGGATACTAACACATATACATGGAATTGAGCAAGATGGTAACCATAACCCTATATGCAAAACAGAAAAAGACACACAGATGTATAGAACAGACTTTTGGACTCTGTGGGAGAAGGCGCGGGTGGGATGTTTCAAGAGAACAACATCGAAACATGTATATATAATCTAGGGTGAAAGAGATCACCAGCCCAGGTTGGATGCAGGAGACAAGTGCTCGGACCTGGTGCACTGGGAAGAGCCAAAGGGATCGGGTCGAGACGGAGGTGGGAGGGGGGATCGGGATGGGGAATACATGTAAATCCATGGCTAATTCATGTCAATGTATGACAAAAAAATTTGTAAAGTCATTAGCCTCCAACTAATAAAAATAAATGAAAAAAAAATAAAAACAGGAATTCACTGAGCTGCATGGGAGATGAATTCTGTCACTAGAAACTTTGCCACCAGGCTTAAGAAATATATTTAGAACTCATTTCTTTCCGGAAACAGGTTTCAAGATCTCCATGAGAAGTCTTTTATTAAGATAAATCACAGCTTTGTCAGTTTCTCCAGAAGTACCCTATTTTTAATTCCCAAGGAGAATGGCAATAATAAAACTAAATTAACCGAGTAGGTTATTTTCTCTCTAATGGCCCCTGTCTTGATTAAGAGGATTCCGGTCGACGTATTTCCTGGGCTTCCCTGGTGGCTCAGGTGGTAAAGCATCTGTCTGCAATGCAGGAGACCTGGGTTTCATGCCTGGGTTGAGAAGATCGCCTGGAGAAGGGAATGGCCACCTCTTCCAGTATTCTTGCCTAGAGAATTCCACGGACAGAGGAACTGGGAAGGCCACAGTCCATGGAGTCACAAAGAGTCGGACACCGCTGAGCAACTAATACACATATTTTCTTACCATTTGCTTAGCAGAAGCAATCATTCATAGCATTTTATAGCACTTTCTAAAGAACATTTTGTGCCTTTTTTCTCTTTTGTAAGCTGCACCAGGTCTTGGTTGCCACACATGGGATCTTTCATTGTGGCGTGCACACTCTTCCTTGCAGTGAATGGGATCTAGTTCACTGACCAGAGATTGAACCCAGGCCCCTGCACTGGATCGCCAGGGAAGCCCTCTAAAGAACTCTTAAAGTGAAACTTTTTGGATGTTCGCAGCAGCTCTGGGCAGTCCTAGTGATGATACTTGTTCTGCACTCTTGAGCCCGTGACCTCCCTGAGGGACACAGGGGCCAAGCGAGCAGATGCTACCCCAGCACCAGACCGCAGGGCCAGACTGGCAGTGTAAACTCCCTTCCAGTGATGTCCTCTTTTTACTGTTCCTCTGGTCAATTCAGTACTGTTTTCCTTGGACCATGTGTTTAAAAGGAAATCCTAGATGTGTTCAAACATTACTGCCCACTTTCAGATGGATTGATATCTACCTAGGACCTGTCTATTAAACCCACCTGCCTGAGTACTGTGACTTGATTGGAGTTTTCTTGAAGTCACTCCTGAAGCACTGTGATGGATTTGTCTACCATTAATAGATTTTTTAAAATGATATGTGTTGGGGAATGGCTGTGAAAAAAGGGGAGAATCTGTTGCTACTGCAAACCAATTAAGGAGGCAACTTAAAAAGCAAATCTGAATTGTAACTATGTTTCTATTTCTGTAAAATACTGTCCTTACCTTGCAGTCTGTAGTTGATGTGCCCAGACACACTAGTGGCTCTCGGGTTGCTCTTCTGCCATCTTCCTGTCTCCTTCAGTCCCTGCAGGCATATAGGAACTTCAGTGAGATAATGGGGCATTTAACAGAGATTAATACTCTGTGCAATACTGTATTTAGTGTTTCTATTTTAAAGTTTCTAGGATGTTAATTTACATGCAAATAAAATACATAATAAGAGAGTTCTCTGCCTATTGTGTATATATGACCTAAAAGTAAATGCAAAATATTTATCCCAGAGGGAAAATAAGTTAGAGCGTCTGTGTTCAAAGATTTTTGAAAGTTCTTATCTCAGGCCGAACCGTTGCTGGTGAACAGTGAAAGTCGCTCTGTCATGTCTGACTCTGCGAACCCATGGACTGTACAGTCCATGGAATTCTCCAGGCCAGAATACTAGAGTGGGTAGCCGTTTCCCTTCTCCAGGGGGTCTTTGCAACGCAGGGATCGAACCCAGGTCTCCTGCACTGCAGGTGGATTCCTCACCAGCTGAGCCACCAGGGAAGCCCGAACAGTTCTTGGCAGTTAAGGATTTAACAAATGCTAGAGTGTAAAGACAAAATAATAATTCTGCTACATTAAAACACATTTTCTTAAGTGCAAATCTTCTCAATGCAGTTTTAGGGAAGAAGTATTTCCCCCTTATGGAAATATCAGTATGTTAATACCTAAGAAGTCCTTTTATGAAAAGTTGCAAAAATTCATATGATGTAGATTAAATGGTGATAAAAATTGAGTTGATCTCAGTGAGGCAGCAGTGAGTGGTGGCGTGAAGTGAGATCTAATTCGCTGCCTAGGAACTGAACCTGGGTAGCCTGAACGAAAACCAGGAATCCTAGCCACCAGACCAGCAAGGGCTAGAGGCTAGAAGCCAAGTTTCCCTGGAACTTTGACCAGTGAAAAATGCATTCATCATGTAGGCAGAATCGCTACATGCAGGTACAACGTTTATTATCAGAGACATAGCACAGCAACACGTGGGAAAGAACACGGAGGAACAGCTGGTCTAGTTCCGACAGAAGCCAAGCAGAGACACACACCTGGAGAGAAAGGTTATGGGCGCCCCCTGGTGACAAGGAGCACAATAACCACGAGGTGGTGAAGTCCTTTATATAGGCCAGTTCTTCTGGGTCTTTGTCTTCCTTCCTGCCAAGTTTCTGGTTTCTTTCTTCACATCTGACCTATCCTGGGCCTCTGCCCTGGTGTGCACATACCCTCAGCCAAGATGGATCTCCAAGTGGAAGCTTCTGGGAGAAGCAAGGCTCATCATGGTCTGGCATTTTCGCGGGACTTTTCACCCACAAGGAGCCTCTCTGCACATGTGTTGTGTTTCCCTTCTCCCACAAGGGGGGTGGGGGAGGGGAGATCTCCTCATCCTTGACTCAAGCAGGATTTTGTCCCTCTTTGCCCTTGTCATGGCTACTAAAGTGTTCATGAGAGACAGACACTGGCTATTTACCCTCTTTCGGTTGTTACTTCCATTTCACAGGGCAAGCAGGACACTGACTGTAAAGGCTCAACTGGAGCCCAACCATCTCTTGCCTCAGGAAATGTAAACAGGCTAGATGTAAATGCCTAACCTGGAGTCCATCTGTCTCCTCCAGCAGCATTATGGGAAGACAAAAGGCGGAAAATTATGCCAATAAGGCACCACATGATGGTGCAAAAAGATGGACATAGACAAGGAAAGAAGGAATAAAAACTAAGCATTATGCTAATGGCAACCATTAGGCAAGTTAATGGGGGGTGGGGGGGAACCTAATGGAAAACACTTGCTTTTATGCCATGAACCATCTTTGAATTCAGGTTGAACTGGATTTTTCACGATAAATTTTTCATCACCTATGCGTTGGCTTGTCATCTACTTTGTGCAAAAGCCTGGAGCTCCTAACTACTAGGGGGTCTCCCATCCAAGTACTAACTTACCCTGCTTAGTTTCCACGATCAGAAGACATCTGGCCCGTTCAAGGTGGTATGATCTTAGATGGAGGCGGTTGCCGCCAGGTGCATTTAAAAACCCTACGCTGCGCTTCCTTTTCGCTCTGATGTGCCGTGTCCAGCCAGCTGGCCGCACCTTTCCACGGGGCGCGCCGGCCAGGGCCGGCAGCCCGGCTGAAGCCGCCCCGTCCCCGCACACCGGCAACCCTGGCCAGCAAACCTGGCCCGGCCCGGGGGCCCGGAGTGTTTCCAGGACCCCGAGCGGCCGGTCGGGCGTGCATGCCTGGGCTTGGGGTTGGGGTGAGGGGCGCGGAGGTCTCGGCGCCCTCCCGCCCTGGGCCTCTCCAGGCCCGCCCCCTGTAAGCGCCCCCACTGCCCACTCCCGTTCGTGGCTCAGGGCCACGTGGCCCCGGAGGTGTCTGATTCGGGCCCGCCGCGGACCGCGGCCCTCGGTCCTCTGAGCCTCCCTCGGGCATAGGCGGAGCGCAGCCGGGGCCCTGAGCACCCATCCTGCCCGGCACCTGCCCGGGGCCCAAACCCACCGGGAGCCACCAGCGCGGTCCACCCGAGCGCCTCAGCCCCGCCCCTTCGCCCGACCGGGGCCCTCCTCCTCGCCACGCCGCTCGCCAAGCACAGGACCTTCCTGAGGTCCTTCAAATTCTTCCTTCAAGAGTTCTAAGTAAATTTAAGACAGCATCTACTGGATTTTCTCCAATGGCTAAAAAAACAAACAAACCAACAGTTACCTTGATCCATCTTGCCTTAATGTGAGCTGTAACAGTAACCTCAGAGCTGCTGCACTCAATGATTTGATTCATTCTGTTGTTGAAAAACAGGGATTCTCAATATTGTCAAAATGGCTATAGTACCCAAAGCAATCTATAGATTCAATGCAATCCCTGTCAAGCTACCAATGGCAGCTTTCAGAGAACTAGAGCAAATAATTTCACAATTTGTATGGAAATGCAAAACACCTCGAATAGCCAAAGGAATCTTGAGAAAGAAGAATGGAACTGGAGGAATCAACCTGCCTGACTTCAGACTATACCACAAAGCCACAGTCATCAAGACAGTATGGTACTGGCACAAAGACAGAAATATAGATCAATGGAACAGAACAGAAAGCCCAGAGATAAATCCACGAACCTATGGTCACCTTATCTTCGACAAAGGAGGCAAGGATATACAGTGGAAAAAAAGACAACCTCTTTAACAAGCGGTGCTGGGAAAACTGGTCAGCCACCTGGAAAAGAATGAAACGAGAACACTGTCTAACACCATACACAGAAATAAACTCAAAATGGATTAAAGGTCTAAATGTTAAGACCAGAAACCATAAAACTCCTAGAGGAGAACACAGGCAAAACACTCTCCGACATAAATCACAGCAGGATCCCAGAGTATTAGAAACAAAAGCGAAAATAAACAAATGGGACCTAATGAAACTTAAAAGCGTTTGCACGACAAAGAAACTATAAGCGAGGTGAAAAGACAGCCCTCAGATTGGGAGAAAATAACAGCAAACGAAGCAACACACAAAGGATTAATCTCAAAAATATACAAGCAACTCCTCCAGCTCAACTCCAGAAAATAAATGACCCAATCAAAAAATGGGACAAAGAACTAAACAGACATTTCTCCAAGGAAGACATACAGATGGCTAAAAGACACATGAAAAGATGCTCAACATCACTCATTATCCGAGAAATGCAAATCAAACCACAATGAGGTACCATTACACGCCAGTCAGGATGGCTGCTATCCAAAAATTATACAAGCAATAAATGCTGGAGAGGGTGTGGAGAAAAGGGAACCCTCTTACCCTGTCGCTGGGAATGCAAACTAGTACAGCCGCTATGGAAAACAGTGTGGAGATATCTTAAAAAACTGGAAACAGAACTGCCGTATGATCCAGCAATCCCTCTTCTGGGCATACACGCCGAGGAAACCAGATCTGAAAGAGACACGTGCACCCCAATGTTCATCGCAGCACCGTTTATAATAAGCAGGACATGGAAGCAACCTAGATGCCCGTCAGCAGCCGAGTGGATAAGACAGCTGTGGTACATATACATCATGGAATCTTACTCAGCCATTAAAAAGAATTCATTTGAATCAGTTCTAAAGGGATGGATGAAACTGGAGCCCGTTATACAGACTGAAGTAAGCCAGAAAGATAAAAGACCATTACAGGATACTAACACATATACATGGAATTGAGCAAGATGGTAACCATAACCCTATATGCAAAACAGAAAAAGACACACAGATGTATAGAACAGACTTTTGGACTCTGTGGGAGAAGGCGCGGGTGGGATGTTTCAAGAGAACAACATCGAAACATGTATATATAATCTAGGGTGAAAGAGATCACCAGCCCAGGTTGGATGCAGGAGACAAGTGCTCGGACCTGGTGCACTGGGAAGAGCCAAAGGGATCGGGTCGAGACGGAGGTGGGAGGGGGGATCGGGATGGGGAATACATGTAAATCCATGGCTAATTCATGTCAATGTATGACAAAAAAATTTGTAAAGTCATTAGCCTCCAACTAATAAAAATAAATGAAAAAAAAATAAAAACAGGAATTCACTGAGCTGCATGGGAGATGAATTCTGTCACTAGAAACTTTGCCACCAGGCTTAAGAAATATATTTAGAACTCATTTCTTTCCGGAAACAGGTTTCAAGATCTCCATGAGAAGTCTTTTATTAAGATAAATCACAGCTTTGTCAGTTTCTCCAGAAGTACCCTATTTTTAATTCCCAAGGAGAATGGCAATAATAAAACTAAATTAACCGAGTAGGTTATTTTCTCTCTAATGGCCCCTGTCTTGATTAAGAGGATTCCGGTCGACGTATTTCCTGGGCTTCCCTGGTGGCTCAGGTGGCAAAGAATCTGTCTGCAATGCAGGAGACCTGGGTTCCATGCCTGGGTTGAGAAGATCGCCTGGAGAAGGGAATGGCCACCTCTTCCAGTATTCTTGCCTAGAGAATTCCACGGACAGAGGAACTGGGAAGGCCACAGTCCATGGAGTCACAAAGAGTCGGACACAGCTGAGCAACTAATACACATATTTTCTTACCATTTGCTTAGCAGAAGCAATCATTCATAGCATTTTATAGCACTTTCTAAAGAACATTTTGTGCCTTTTTTCTCTTTTGTAAGCTGCACCAGGTCTTGGTTGCCACACATGGGATCTTTCATTGTGGCGTGCACACTCTTCCTTGCAGTGTATGGGATCTAGTTCACTGACCAGAGATTGAACCCAGGCCCCTGCATTGGGAGCAGCCACTGGATCGCCAGGGAAGCCCTCTAAAGAACTCTTAAAGTGAAACTTTTTGGATGTTCGCAGCAGCTCTGGGCAGTCCTAGTGGTACTTGTTCTGCACTCTTGAGCCCGTGACCTCCCTGAGGGACACAGGGGCCAAGCGAGCAGATGCTACCCCAGCACCAGACCGCAGGGCCAGACTGGCAGTGTAAACTCCCTTCCAGTGATGTCCTCTTTTTACTGTTCCTCTGGTCAATTCAGTACTGTTTTCCTTGGACCATGTGTTTAAAAGGAAATCCTAGATGTGTTCAAACATTACTGCCCACTTTCAGATGGATTGATATCTACCTAGGACCTGTCTATTAAACCCACCTGCCTGAGTACTGTGACTTGATTGGAGTTTTCTTGAAGTCACTCCTGAAGCACTGTGATGGATTTGTCTACCATTAATAGATTTTTTAAAATGATATGTGTTGGGGAATGGCTGTGAAAAAAGGGGAGAATCTGTTGCTACTGCAAACCAATTAAGGAGGCAACTTAAAAAGCAAATCTGAATTGTAACTATGTTTCTATTTCTGTAAAATACTGTCCTTACCTTGCAGTCTGTAGTTGATGTGCCCAGACACACTAGTGGCTCTCGGGTTGCTCTTCTGCCATCTTCCTGTCTCCTTCAGTCCCTGCAGGCATATAGGAACTTCAGTGAGATAATGGGGCATTTAACAGAGATTAATACTCTGTGCAATACTGTATTTAGTGTTTCTATTTTAAAGTTTCTAGGATGTTAATTTACATGCAAATAAAATACATAATAAGAGAGTTCTCTGCCTATTGTGTATATATGACCTAAAAGTAAATGCAAAATATTTATCCCAGAGGGAAAATAAGTTAGAGCGTCTGTGTTCAAAGATTTTTGAAAGTTCTTATCTCAGGCCGAACCGTTGCTGGTGAACAGTGAAAGTCGCTCTGTCATGTCTGACTCTGCGAACCCATGGACTGTACAGTCCATGGAATTCTCCAGGCCAGAATACTAGAGTGGGTAGCCGTTTCCCTTCTCCAGGGGGTCTTTGCAACGCAGGGATCGAACCCAGGTCTCCTGCACTGCAGGTGGATTCCTCACCAGCTGAGCCACCAGGGAAGCCCGAACAGTTCTTGGCAGTTAAGGATTTAACAAATGCTAGAGTGTAAAGACAAAATAATAATTCTGCTACATTAAAACACATTTTCTTAAGTGCAAATCTTCTCAATGCAGTTTTAGGGAAGAAGTATTTCCCCCTTATGGAAATATCAGTATGTTAATACCTAAGAAGTCCTTTTATGAAAAGTTGCAAAAATTCATATGATGTAGATTAAATGGTGATAAAAATTGAGTTGATCTCAGTGAGGCAGCAGTGAGTGGTGGCGTGAAGTGAGATCTAATTCGCTGCCTAGGAACTGAACCTGGGTAGCCTGAACGAAAACCAGGAATCCTAGCCACCAGACCAGCAAGGGCTAGAGGCTAGAAGCCAAGTTTCCCTGGAACTTTGACCAGTGAAAAATGCATTCATCATGTAGGCAGAATCGCTACATGCAGGTACAACGTTTATTATCAGAGACATAGCACAGCAACACGTGGGAAAGAACACGGAGGAACAGCTGGTCTAGTTCCGACAGAAGCCAAGCAGAGACACACACCTGGAGAGAAAGGTTATGGGCGCCCCCTGGTGACAAGGAGCACAATAACCACGAGGTGGTGAAGTCCTTTATATAGGCCAGTTCTTCTGGGTCTTTGTCTTCCTTCCTGCCAAGTTTCTGGTTTCTTTCTTCACATCTGACCTATCCTGGGCCTCTGCCCTGGTGTGCACATACCCTCAGCCAAGATGGATCTCCAAGTGGAAGCTTCTGGGAGAAGCAAGGCTCATCATGGTCTGGCATTTTCGCGGGACTTTTCACCCACAAGGAGCCTCTCTGCGCATGTGTTGTGTTTCCCTTCTCCCACAAGGGGGGTGGGGGAGGGGAGATCTCCTCATCCTTGACTCAAGCAGGATTTTGTCCCTCTTTGCCCTTGTCATGGCTACTAAAGTGTTCATGAGAGACAGACACTGGCTATTTACCCTCTTTCGGTTGTTACTTCCATTTCACAGGGCAAGCAGGACACTGACTGTAAAGGCTCAACTGGAGCCCAACCATCTCTTGCCTCAGGAAATGTAAACAGGCTAGATGTAAATGCCTAACCTGGAGTCCATCTGTCTCCTCCAGCAGCATT